CAATAAAACTTAACAATCTTCACAACCCCGTAATACAAATTACCTGTGCTCACTAGTGACGACGACTAGCTTGGTGAGGAATCTTCTCCGAGTTCTAGTGGGAAGACGTGACCAGTGAAGTTCAACCTGTTCGGGTGTAGACAGTAACTACCGAAGACTGTGTATGAGGTTGCGCAACTCCGTGAATTGATCAAGTTAGACATTAACACCGTTAGATACCGGCTCAGTGGTCCGACGGTTAGGCGTTCGCCTACAATACCGGAGGTCCTGGGTTCGAATCCTGTGAGATGCAGGAGCCATGGATGCACGCTGCTGCTGATGAGTCCCATATCGGGTCGAAACGGCCGTCCAGTGCTTCCAGGTTTCTAATGGTGGTGGTCTAACAGTGATTGTTTAATGATCTCTAATATATGTCAGATCTATTAATTAAGGAATTCTTAACCTATTTGAATAAGACAATAGTTCTTCATTCTCTAAAAATTGTGTATCCTTCTGTTTCTGCTAATTCCGTGATAAAGTAGTACTTAATCCGAATTCAAGGAAAAAAAAACTCAATTTTTCATGTTGAGTAGGATTTTTTCTTTCCAACTCAATGACCTTGAATGAAGAAGAATGATTGGAGTATGCATATAAAATGAAGGCAGGGCGTAAAAATGTATTAATGCTTGTTTAAAAAGTCAAAAATAATTATTTGATTAGCATAACGTTTGCAAAATGTTTATATTTTCCATAAATGGAATATTTCGAAAATAAGAAATGAAATATAGTTGTAGTAAAGGAGAACACAGCTGAGGGCAACCGAATTTGTATTTACCCGAAAATTACAGAGTTACTCAGTAAAATAGGAAAACCATATTGTAAACGGTTAATTTGCACATCTTCAATCCATCATCAATCCATTGTCTGACATTTCACTTATTCATGCGTTTCATACAAATTCCATTGTTTTCTAACTCTTCCTTTCTTGATCTTCCCCCATCTTCTGCTGCCAGACATTACGTTTACACTCGTGTCATATACTACTTATAAGTGGCGTGCACCACATAGTCACTTAATTTTACAAAAATTTGATAGATAAATTTTGTTTTAAACTTTATAAAATAAACTTTATTCTTTTCAACTTAATCCATTTTATGTGAAAATATCAGAGATTATAGGCAAAAAAAACTCCAAAGAGAATAGAACTTGCTTGAAATCAGCGATCAACGATGTTATTTACAAATACAGCAGTTTCTTCTTATTTAATAGTTGTAATCTTAAGAATTGCATTCTATTCATTTGTATAACAGAAAATTTCGGATCATTATATTCTATGGAATAGTTTAACTAAGGTTATGATTGTTTAGAAAAAGAAACACTGAACAGGTTACACCGAAAACGCGTTTCCAGATGTGAGGCAGTTACTGACAACAGATATATGAGGTTGCTCAATACCATAGATCGAGTCAAGTGGTTCTCAGTGGTGTAGAGGTTAAGCATTCGCACGTGAAACTGTAGATCCTGGATTCGATTCCCACGTGCAGACGTCATGGATGCTCACTGCCACTGATGAGTCCTATGCTATAGAACGAAACGGTCAACCCATGATTTTAGGTTTCTAATGGTGATCTAACAAGGATTGATTTATGATTTCAATGAGAATTATATACACCATGGTAATGACTCCACCATACACCCTATCATGTTTATTCATTTACGCATAGATCTTGTTAGGATATTCATCCAATACCTTAGAGAATTATTGGTAGATTCCTATTGGTTAATTTCTACTGGTCAATTTTATGATCATCCTAGATGTCAATGTCACGTGCCACAATGTTATTTCTTATTACTTGTCCTGACTATCAATGGCACTTCAAATGTTGTTTCCTATTGGTTGACTTAACTGTCAATGTCACAGACTTCGATGCTGATTCATATTCTACCGAAATGTATAAATACGCATAATATGTAACGTTTTATGACCCGGATCCGGTCCTGGGTCCCTAGTCCGGTATCCTGATTCTCTTCTGGACTCGGACCTGGTACTTTCTGGATGATTGTAGAATACATGTTCTACTTCACATTCAAGTCTTCCTATTTTTACTCAATATGGGGGTTTGGGATAATCGGATTTGAGTAGCATGTCGTGTCGCCCGATCCTCGATCTTCGCTCTCGTTTTCCGACTAGGTAAACTCGTAATCTAAATGACGTGTTTACGTGCAGGCGTACATAGACATCAAAAAAAGGAGTGATTAGGAATTTTTACAAATTACAATAGCTGAGAATCTAACAAAATGATTGTAAAACAAAATAAACTTACACATTTAATATCATCGATCAGTCATTGTTAGACTATCATTAGAAATCTGGGAGACTCTGGAAGACGGCCGTTCAGTACTTCTGGGTTTCCAATGTTTGTCTGCTTTCAGCGATATTCTATGATTACTAAACAATTACACTACTTGATCGATGTTAGACCACCTTTAGAAACCTGGATAGTCGTTTCGTCCTGGTACGGGACTCACTAGCTGTGCGCATCCACGACTCCTACTTCTCACAGGATTCGAGCTTAGGACCTTATGTCTTGCGCTCGAACGCCTATCCTCTGCACCACTGGGCAGGCTTTCAGCGGTCTTAATGTCTAACTCTGACAGATCTAGAGATTTCGCGCTACCTCACCTATTGGCCTTCGGGAGTTACTGCCTACACCTACATCCAACAGGGTTGAACTCCTCTGGTCACGTTTTCGTACTAGAACTCCTAGAATTTTCTCATGAAGCTAGTCACCAGTGAGCACACGTTACAATATTTTCAGTTAGAGCTTTGCAGATTTGTGTTTTTACACATTTGAAAATTAAATGACCTGTAACTGTTAACCAAGACAGCGTAACTAATCAAATTACAAATAATTAATCTATGGTAAAAATGAATTTCATCGAACAATCGGTAGTCCTTCATTTTGACCTAGATTTTGTTAAGGTTATAACTTGCATTACGCGGTTGTGAAGATTGTTAAGTTACACATTTTTTGAAATCATGAATCGATCAATGTTAGACCACCATTAGAAACCTAGAATCATTGAAAGACGGCCGTTTCGTCCCGGTATGGGACTCCTCAACACCGTCAGATACTGGCTCAGTGGTCCGATGGTTAGGCGTTCGCGCACAATACTGAAGGTCCTGGGTTCGAATCCTGCGGGGTGCAGGAGTCGTGGATGCGCACTGCCACTGATGAGTCTCATACCAGGACGAAACGGTCGTCCAGTGATTCCAGGTTTCTAATGGTGGTCTAACATTGATCGATTCCTGGTTTCAAAAATGGTTATAACTCACATAGAATCCAATGTATTGAAAAATTGTTGAATTACGCGTTCTTTTAAGAAAACGTTCAGTCGCAGTTCAAATATCTCAATGAAAACGTTTCTGACTGTAAATCTGATCGACTAGGTTTTAAATCCTTCAAAGAGAACAAATTTCTTACAGATAATAGCTACAACTTAATGCTAACTGGCTAAAGGACTTAGGTTCAAACCTTTGTGACGACTGATTTGCCATTGAAAGCAAGATAGAAATTGAATTTGGATCAATGTTAAATGTTCAAAATTTATTTTTACTTTATTAAGTGATTTGTAGAAATAAGATTTTGTCACTAAACTGATATTGTGGTGCGAGCTACTTGTAAGTAGTATATGACGTGAGTGTCAACGTAATGTCTGGCAGCAGAAGATGGGGGAAGATCAAGAAAGGAGGAGTTAGAACACAATGGAATTTGTATGAAACGCATGAATAGTGACAATGGATTGATGTTTTGCAACAGGAACAGTACAGTTCGATATGATGAACTGATATTTTGCAAATGAACGATTTACGATATGTTTTTCCGATTTGACTGAGTAACTCTATAATTAGCGTTAAAAGCAATTCGATTGCCCTCACCTGTGTTCTCGTTCACTACAATATTACTTAAAAGTTAGACATGTTGTGTCAAGATCATATACTTTCTACATGACTTGAAGTTTGATACAACGTAACCAATGTAGATTAAGTTAAAATCAGACTACAGTAAAACAATTGTTCAATTTCCTTTGATTTGATTTTGAACTCGTCTGTTTTTCTCTGATCAACAACTATGATCTGAAGTAGAAGAGGTTTTGTAAAGTTGGTATCATTTTGTAAGTTGTTTTCCTGACATATTGATCTCATTCGGAATACTGATGAGCTTACTATGGAACTCCTCAACATTTAACAGCTACAACCCACTAAAGAAATAAACTCAGTACCTTTGGTTTCATGGTATAAGCGTATATTCATCAGAAATTCATAGTCAGCCATTATTGGTACACATTTTCAAATTTGAGTCATTTTGTCATAAAGCACAACCATATGTCTAAGCTGTACAGAATTACCATTTCTCTCTGAATAAAACCTTGAATTAAGTTATCGGTGAGCTGAGGATTATGATTAATTTGAAGGAGTTTTCCAAAGATGGATTTTACTTGTAGATGGAGTCTTAGGTGCTCACTACTATATAATCTCATATTGAAGTGAGAGACTTATTCAATGCTACCTTTATTCTCAATCATTACTCAACTAAGATCAATCTATGACGAATACGATTTACACATTTTTGAAATCATGAATCGATCAATGTTAGACCATCACCATTAGAAATCTGGAGGCAATGGACAGCCGTTCCGTCCTTCTATGAGACCCATCAGCAGTGTGCATCCATGACTCCTGCACCCCGCAGGATTGGAACCCAGGACCTTCGGTATTGTGCGCGAACGCCCTAACCATTAGACCACTGAGCCGGTATCTAACGGTGTTAATCTGTAACTTGATCAAATTCACGGAGTTGCGCAACCTCATACACCACAGTCTTCGGTAGTTACTGCCTACACCCGAACAGGTTTATACTATAATACGATATTCATACCATGAATATGAAGATATTAGCGACTAAAATATTTAACTCACTCCTTTTTTTTTCTCTCCCCTATTCATTCACATCTCATAGTTTACAAACTGAAATTATTCTTGTGCCACGTATAATACATACAGAATTATTATCAGCTGAACGAAGTTTAGAAGATGCTATTAAATTAACTTGTACAACTATAGCTAATGGACCACCAAATATGCGTATTGATTTTGCGGCGACAGATCAACCATCCGTGAAAAATGGTTTAACTCAATGGGAACCATTAAAACTACGATATGGTTTGAATATTAGACCAAGACAAGTGGATCCAAGCAATCCATTGATACATCGTCTTGTGATTGATATTTCTGGTAAGTAATTTTTTATGTATTGTGTATTATAATGTAGTAGGGAGGTCTTGGTACTCTTACTTACTTACTTACTTACTCCTGTTATCCCCTAATGGTAGAGCATAGGCCTCTGACTTACTCTGTCCTGAGCTTCCTTTCCTAGTTTTGTCCAATTTTTGTTCATTCTTCGCATAACTTTCTCTATCTCCCAGCGTAATGTGTTCTTTGGCCTTCCTCTTTTCCTTCGACCTTGATAGTTCCATCTGAGGGCTTGTCTTGTGACGCAGTAGGGCGCTTTCCTCAATGTGTGTCCGATCCACTTCCACCGCTTCTTTCTGATTTCCTCCTCCACTGGAATCTTGTTTGTTCTATCTCACAGTAGGTTGCTGCTGATAGTGTCCAGAAAGCGAATCCGAAGTATATAGCGCAGTCAACTGTTAATGAACACTTGTATTTTCTGGATGATAGCTTCGGTAGTTCTCCAGTTTTCCGCTCCATCCAGTAGAACTGTCTTGAACTTTGTATAGGAAATTCTGGTTTTGGTGTTGGTTGATAGTTGTTTTGAGTTCCAGATGTTGTTCAATTGTATAAATGCAGTCGTTACTTTGCTGATCCGCGCCCTCACATCTCCACTCTTACTTACTTACTTACTTACTTACTTACGCCTGTTATCCCTAATGTTGGAGCATAGACCGCCAACCAGTGAATTATTTATTTTTCTGGTTAACCAATTGGATTTCTACGGGATTCGGGTCGCTAACCACCACCTACCCAAACCCTCCTTATTTATCCAGGCTTAAGAAAGTCTCCATACACAGTTAAGCTCGGTACTCACATAGGCAATGAAGTTTAGTATAGAGTTTGAAACTTGTAATATATTCTCTCAAAAATTTCAGAAATCATTCAACTAAGAATACATAAACTGACAAAGTTCAAAATCAATTAAACTAGTGTCTTTTTTTGAAATCATGAATCGATCAATGTTAGACCACCATTAGAAACCTGGAAGCACTGAAACACGGCCGTTTCGTCCTGGTATGGGACTCCTCTCAGCAATGCGCATCCACGACTCCTGCACTCCGCAGGATTCGAACTTGGGACCTTCGGTATTGTAGGCGAACGACTAACCATCGGACCACTGAGTCGGTATCTAACGGTGTTAATGTCTAACTTTATCAATTCACGGAGTTGCGCAACCTCATACACAGTCTTCGGTAGTTACTGTCTACACCTGCAACAGGTTGAACTTCACTGATCACGTCTTCTCACTAGAACTAGAAGAAGATCTCTCACGAAGCTAGTCGTCACTAGTGAGCACAGGTAATTTGTATTACGGGGTTGTTGTGAAGATTGTTAAGTTACACATTTTCGAAACCATAAATCGATCAATCTTCACAAACCCGTACTACAAACTAGCGTATACCTATTTTTTTTTACCTGAGTCATACATTTAATTTACATGTTGTCAGAATCAAAGTAGCATTTTTTTTTCTTAACATACAAATGATACATACAATTGCATAGTCTAATTTTTATGTACTATCAACTTTTGTTGTTTAAAATGTGGTGTTATCTAGGGTAAACACTTGATACATACTACATAGATAAATCATTATTTCTAATTAGCCTAGAATCAATTTTTTATCAGTTTCTTTTTTTGTCTGCCACTATAACTTACACAAAAAATATCCGATCAAAGTGTAAGTAAGTAAGTAAGTAGTAAGTACATAGATTTCATGTAGCTATCTATTTTGTTGTCAACATGTTTACTGTCATTGTTATGACTATACATTTTTAAAGCAACAATCTTATCGAGTTTTATTTTATTCTGATCATATGTCAGTTATTTTGACAGTAAAAATTTATATACATTTTTGATAGATATGTAGCTAGCATATGTTATGTAGATATATTATTGTGATTAGTGTGATTCAGCTTTGTTGTAACGTTTGCTTAGAATAATTATTCCCAGCTAATTCTTATTGTGCTTAGTAGTATTCTCTGACCATAATACACTGGACAAGTTCCAAAGAATCAAAAACACGGTTGAACATGAAAAGATTATATTCTAAATAGCAAGGTTAAATGGAAATAAGAAAGCCGGAGGCAAAAATAGATACAACGTTAGTTTCTTTATAGTATATACATGAGAGGCTTCTGGATTGTAATTCACGTGATCGACTGGATTAGATTTACCCAATCAGCATGCAGCTAACAACACGAGAATTTTCTACCCTGTTCTCCAAGAATCGATCAGGCGCTGATTGGATAA